TAAGGCTTTTTTCAAAATACTTTTAGCTCTAAAATTTCCTCGGGAAGGTGAAAGTTAAATTTCTCCGTCAAACTTCATCTGGGAATGATGTAAAGTTTTTCTCCTTATACAAATTAATGTTCTCTAACGAACTACGCTAGAATCAACTCTTCATATCAAAAAAATGAAGTTTTTATTGAATTTTAAAAATAGGGCAAAAAACCCGACAAAAACTTAAAAATTTTTTTTATCAAAAACTATAAATCCGGGAACTGAAAGCTTTGTTGAGACGTTCCACAAACTGCTGGAAAAAAACGGGTGGAACCCTCACTCTCCCCCCCCCTTAATATTCGATAATCATCTAATTTTTTTGATGTTGTTTTATGTAGATTCGTTATCTACTAACGTGCCAGTAAAAGAATCTATTGAAATTGCCGTATGTAATATTCCATTTAGATTCATGAATAATAATTATGTGCAATCTGATGGAGTAGGAATGGGTTTACCACTTGCACCCATACTTGCAGATTTATTTATGGCAAAATTAGAATCTAAATTAAACAGATTTTCCACGAATAAAGCATTACTGTGGTTGCGTTATGTGGACCATATATTTTGCATATTCACAACTTAACATGATATTAATAATTTTTTACAAAGAATTAATAAGTGGCACAGTAACATTACATTCATGCTTGAAATGGAAGCTAATAATAGAATCTCATTCTCGGATGCTCTAGTAATAAGGAATAACGATAGCAATAAATATGAAACAAAAATATACCATAAACCAACGAATACAAATTTATACTTACTATGAAAGTAACCAATGTACAAAATATAAATTAAGTTTAATTAAATCGTTAGTGATAACAATTCTACTCATTTGTTGATCAATAGATTATTCGAAACTGGAATTGAAACAAACACCTTAGAGGAATAGCGATCGGCCGGCAGGAGAGCTCGGCCGGCAGGAGAGCTCGGCCGGCAGGAGAGCTCGGCCGGCAGGAGAGCTCGGAAACGGACAAGCGTTTCTTATAGGTTCATTTTCGGAAACCCGTTAAACGTTTCCTAGAATACGTTTTTTTTACAGTGCAGAGGGCTCATGTCAAGAGAAATGTCATATCTGCTAACTATATTGAAATACGAAAAATTCCAAAAGCTCCCCTCTCTCTCTCCTCCAATATTCTGAGTGACAAAATTAACTTCCTTTATCATAAAGAAAGTATATTTTAGATATTCTGAAGAAGATTCGGGAAAATGTCACTACCATGAACGAATTCTGTCATTTTATCGGAGTTTTCTGTTATTCTGTTTCTGTCACGGAGGTTGATGTCATTGTATTTGAAAACTCATAAGAAGTTGGATCTCTCTATTAATGAAAACTCTTTATTAATCGGAAACTCTTTATTAATGGGTTTTTCAGACCTACTAATCATCTTATTGGTTTAAGACTAGTGTAAATTGAGAATTCGCGTTTATATGCGTGAAAGCTTTGTTTTTTCATTGTTAATAAATGTAATGTAATCAATCAATCAATAAATCTCACAGGTCCTATGACTAATGTGCTCAAAGAGATACGCTGTCTGATTTAAAAATAGAATTAAAAAAAACCTTAAAACAGTATCATCAAGACCAATAAATGGCATTTAATTTTTGTTGATGCATTTTTGCCTTCAGTACACATAGTCAATAGTAACACTAATTGAACATGATAATTTAACAATAAATTTGGTTCTTGACGTACTTTTTCTGATTTCATACGTCCAACTAAAGCAGTTAAATTTACTTTTTCATAAAACATTAATACTTCATTCGAACTAACCAACCGAAAAATAAAAACAACAAACAATTAAGAATGGCTAATAATTAGCGTGCAATACGTGACTAGGAGATCTTTTTGTGAATGATAAATTCTATACTGTAGGTTTCACTATGTGAAAAATTCTTTCTTCGGACATGACACTATCTTGACAATTTTTAATATATTGATTTTCTGCTTTGACAATTGTTACAAATTTAATATACAAAACTTGTCTTTTATATAGTTCAATGAAATCTACAAAATGTTGAACATGTTTTTCAGTCCTACAGAAAGAAACACATCACATTAATTGTTATACTTTGTTAATAATCATTGAAATAGAATTCATACAATTTAGCTTGATTTTTTGTGTTTTCATAGACCAAATATTGTAAAAAGATTATGAACTAATATTATTATGTGATTCATACGAGTATCTTTAGCCAATAAATAGAACAAAAAAATCATTGAAAGTGAATGTGTAGTATCTGGACATTTATCGAGTCTTAAATGGAAATCATTTTTCATTTGTTTCGATTTCTATAGACAATTCATTTTCAGCACATATGACATATTCTTGTATACACTATCTATTATCAATGCCAAACAAATGCTTGGGTTTTTTTTGTCCATCACATGCATGTCTTTCTCTTTGTTGCATCTCTCTCAAATCATCATCATGTAAAATCAAACAAAAATCAGTTTAGATGAAAAGGTATGAGTTTCGTGTTTGTGTTAGCGAATTTATTTCAGTTCTAAGCCGATATAGATCATCAGACACTTTAAACTATCATTTCATGTAAAGAAAACACTATATTGCCACTTTGACTTTTGGAGAACCATTAACTGCCTAGTACACCACAGTTTCTGAACTAGTTTTACTTGTGAAGAGGCGTCTTCGGGTCTCTTGTTTTAATTGGTGAAAACCGCAAGTCTCTAACTTCTTTCCTTGAAAAGTTGGTCAAGAAAAATACACAGGTACCATTTTTGGACATGGATAGTAAATATTCTGAAAATCTGAAATGTGAACTGCAAATTCATATCGAAAATTTTAGTGCACGTTATTGTAAAGAAAAACAGTTAGAGCTATAATCGTGTTTTTTTTCACTATTTCGCCGTACGTGGTCACAAGTGAAAGTTACAATATGATTTGTGGACACATGTGAAAAGAAATTCCCGCCCATGAACGTGTGTAACAGCATGTTCGATGTTGAAACTATATGCGTATAATGCCATGAAATTTCAATAAAATTTTCTCCATAGATATTCATCAATAAACAAAATTAAAGAAAATTATTAAATCCTTTCTGCTTGATCGACGTTTACACGCAAAATACAGAACAAACTCTCATCGTACAAAGGCAATGTAAATCAATCTTTTAATATTAAGATCAAATATTTCACGGTACAAATCAAGCGCAGTTAGTTTATTCGAATATATCTGGTTTATTTTGCCGCATTTGCCGACTATATTGTTAAACACCACTCTGAATTCTCTCGGGTAAATGTGTTTTGCTTATAATTAAAACATTTAACACTTTTATGAAAGTGAATACTTTTTATTGTTCTACTGTTATTCGCTAAATTTTGTCTTAAAAGTTTAATTTAATTTAAATTCTTTTCGAATAAAAATAGAAATAAATCATCTTAAGTGGTGAATGAATGGTAATTGATAACAACTTCAACGGGGTTTTTCTAATAGGAAATGAAACTAAGATAATCACATTTGAATCTGTTATTTTGTTTTTCTGTTTTCTTTTTATGAAAAATGAACATTTTCTGTAACATCGACATGATGTGTTCTGTTAGTGTAAAGGTAAAAAATTCACCTAAAGGAATAAACAAAACAAGGAAAAGAATAAATTTCAACAATTAAGAAGAAAACAAACACAATGGATGGATAGAGAAAAAAAAAAGAGTAGATGGTTTCTACACGAACGAACTAACAAATAAACCATGTGAATTACGAAAAGATAAAACCGGTTTCGTGTTTTTAAATAAAATTATGACTTATTATTTTATACAAACTAGAAAGCATTATCAATAATAAAATTTGCATTTTAAATTAGAAAAAAGACAAAACAAGAGAAGAAAACGTTGCATGTTAGATGCATATATGTGAATAAGAAATCACAAGTAATAAAAAAAAAAACAAAAAAAAAACAACAACAAAACATGAGAAAAATAAAACATGAAAATGATGAGAAAATTGGAAGACATTTGATTCAAATTTGAGATAGTTAGTGTAAAGTAAAAGAGTTTAAATTAATCATTTGTTTTTTTGAATCGGAAATAGTCTCAAAGTTAATTCTATTTGAAATTTTTTTTTTAAAACTAAAAAACTATTCTTCTAGAATGAACAGTTAAACTTTTTATTTTTAATGGGTATTATTTATTACTAAATAGAGATATAGACGACTTCTCAATCTTTTTATTTCTCTTTTTTTTTTCTATTATTTTTAAAATATATTGTAGGTATCGATTGTCTGCTGCTGCTATGCTAACTAAAGCTTGAATATGTGGGAGAGCGTGTTAAAAATAAATTTTTCTTTTTTTTTTATGAAATGTGACATACTGCATAGATAAAGTGAAACATAACAAACAAGAGACATATATAATTAAATCCTTTCAACAATTTCATTTAATATTCTATCAAAACTTTGTGCATATGTTGCATGTTCAGGATGTGGATTTTTAACAGCTAATAATGGTGAATGTGTTTTAACAGCAATTCTTGAAACAATATTTGTATCTGTACCAATATGAATAACATATTGTTTCATAAAATCTTGAAATGTTTGTACACTACCACTTTGACTTGTTGATAATGATGAATTATTATAAATATTATTTGATACCGATATACTATTTGAATGAATATGTCTTTGTCCACTTGATGTTGCTGATGATGTTGATGATGAAGAAGATTGTGGTGGTGTATTTGGTATTAAATTATAATTATTATTTAATATTGCCGGTGTTGTTGAACGATAAGATTCGAATGCATCACGATGTTTCGTATAAATATCATAAACAAATCTCCAATATTTTTCAATATCATTCGTATTTATCATTAATTGTTGATGATTTTGTTCTTTTGCTTTACATAATATTAAATGTATTTTTGGTAATTTAACACCATTTTCATCTGCTCGATAATAAAACGAATAATGTCTATAATAATAGTAGACATTTGATGGTTGAGAAAAACCGTATAATAACGAAAATAAATATTCAAAACCGTTACGATGTAAATGATCTTCACTAACAGGTAAAATAATACGATCAGCTGCTGTTAAGGCAATCTCTGTACATATAGAAAATGATGAATTTGTATCAATAAATGCCATTAATTTAATACCACGACGTTCACCAATTTTTAAAATAAATGCACGTAAAGATTGTGTAATTGTACGCCAAGGATTTGCATACGGTGTAATAATATTTGAACTACGTTTTATTTCTAATGCTTTACTTAACAATTCTAATGATGGATCACCACATAATAAATAAACCTAAAAAGAAAAGCAAATAAATAATTTTTTTTATATTAAAATAGCAACAACAATAAAAAAAAATGTCTTTTTTCTTTTTTTGAATTTCTAATCTTACATTTCTTGGTAACATATTATTAAATTTAGATACATTAAATAGAAATGTTCGTGGATCAACATTTGTAGGTAATCCAACGGATGTATAAAGATCTAAATAGCCCGATATTGTCTTAGGTATACTTTGTTGACCATCTAAAATCATTGGATCTTTTTTTAATGAACCAATTTGTGTAACATAATCATGACCATTTTCATCATCACCTAAAATATATATATATTTTTTTGTTTGTTTGTTTGTTTTCTTTTTAAAATTGACAAATATTATAAGACTAAAATCATTTAGAAAAAAACAAAAAAAGGAAACATTATCTGATTCATTCTTCTATTAATTCATTCATTCAAGCAAAATAAAATAGTCACGTAACAGGATGTAGGATAGTATGTGTACATCCGTATTTCAAGGTTTATGATCGAATTTATCGTTAATTTTTTCTAGATTTTAGTAGTTCCAATCAAAAAGAAAAGAAAAAAACAGAAGAAACAAAAAAAAATGTTGATGTTCTCAACATCTGGAATGATTAATGTTTATCGTGTTGAATGATGTGTGTTAATAAAATATGTTTTTTATGTAATAAACGTATCATCAAATATAAATCAAACAAATGTATATGCAGTGATGATGATGATAGATTAATTGATAACGATTTTCTTCTTTTTTTTTGCTTTTTTGCTCAGACAATTTTGTTTTATTTATGTATTTTGTCTTTTGTTTTACAAAAGATAAAAGTTTCAAGTCTTTGTTTTTCTTTTAGAAATTTATCTTACCTAAAAATGCATGTGATAAATCAGCTTGTGGACACATATCAACGACTAATATTGTTTTATCCGGATTTCTATAGGCATATTTAATAGCTAAATGATATGTTAAATTTGTTTTACCGGAACCACCACGATTATTCCATATTGCATAACTACCCTCCAATGGCATCTTCTAAACAGAAGAAGAAAAAAAAAAAACATAAAAATAAATATATTCTATAAGTAGTATTATCAAGTATCACACTTCTACTATGATGCAATCAATCATTTTTATATGTAATCATAACAATTTTTTATAGAATAAAGCTAAAAAATCATTAGTAAATTATCAGAGTAAAAGTACTTCACTATGTCAGACAAAGTCGATATTCAATATTTTTAATTGAAAATCACATTTTCCATTACAAATATAACACTCCCACATTCGATCTCTCTCTCTCTCTCTCTCTCTCTTTCGATATATATATATATATATATATAAATAAAGTGGATATAATTGAACACTCACCATTTTTCTTTTTTATATCATTTTAGGAAAATGTTACGGTAATTTTATTTTTCAAAAAAGAAAAAAGAAAAAAGAAAACATTATACGCAAGGATTCATGTTCTTTTTGATGAGAAATATTTGTGTATCTATCTTTATAGTTACGTTATCTAAGTTTTAATGCAATCACGCACACTCTAAAAATAGCTGTCATTTTTATATTTTTAGAAGAAAGAAAATGTTCTCAAAAGCGGAAAATGTCAATAATTGAACGATATGATACACTTTTTTTTTTTTACAAGAAACAAAACAGTGTTCTTCTTCTTCTTTTGCTTCTTCTTCTTCGTCTTCTTTTTTTAAAGGAAAATTGTAGTGACACCCACTCAACAATTAGCTCATGTCGGATAACATCATAAAGATACAAAACGTCTCATTAAATTGTTTCATATACAACTTTTTTTCAATGTTCAATGAATAGTGACAAAGCTTTTATCATTTTATGAACTATCGATCGAGAAAATGTTCTAAAATGTCTTCTTTACTATTGTACTGGATTAACCCTTTACAGCCAAAGACACTTTTATTATAGCTGCAGCTGAAATAACTACTGCATTGAAGCTTACAGTTCTTCGGTACATCTTTGTTATATCTAGACTTAAGTGATGTTGCTTTGCTGCGTAGATACATGATGTCCCTTGGAAGGAACATACGGGTGTAACGGCATGAATTTTGTATTTTTTTCATTGTTATTCCGAACTTCCTTTTTTGCCCTAGTATACACTAGTATGAGTTTCAATTCTTTACTCCCTGGAAAAATTTTCGATAGAAACGTTCAGACGTATTTTTCTTTAATTTTTCCAAAAATATCGTGTCTGAACACGTTTTTCAAATCAAGATTGTCCTAAAGGCGCTTCTAAACGAGATTTTTTATCTCAATGAGAGAAAAGTATGTTCGGATGCATCTTGCTTTTTAAAAAGCTGAATGTTGGTTTAGACGCGTCTCAATTTTATTCAGTATTTTAAACGCATTTAGATGGATTTTTTATATCGATCAGAGAAAAATGCATTCACATTTGGCGGCGACGGCACAATAGTACTGGTTACATCTTTTTTCTTCATTCACTCATCTTCAGATGTGTAGTGAGTGATCACAGAATGATCCACGCTAACAAGATGTTAAGATAAAAAAATTCACTTTTCATGTCGTTACACCCGAATGTCCCTTCCAAGGGACAGTGAATTCATAGCGTCTTTACGCAAAGAAGAATGCTACAAAAATTTCTTCTTTAATTTCATTATAAAATACATCCATACAACCAAAACTATCAACTACAAAATTAGAAAATGGTTTAGTGGTTAGAAGTATAAAAAATATTTAAAAACAAAAATTCATTCTTGAACTTTATTCAATTTTAAAATTCAAAATATTGGATTAAGATGGAAATTTTTCTTTCTTCTTTCAATCAAACGTTAGGCTACTCTATTGTCTTACATTAGTAATAATCTAGCTTTTTGGCTGATGATCCGTTCTTTTCATAAATCTATTATATCAACGTCCCTTGGAAGGGATCGGCGGGTGTAAAGGGTTAATAGTGGTCATTTGTTTTTGTTTTCTATTACACACTTTTCCCCATAAAAATATAATCAAAAACAGATTAAAATTATATGGCTTTACTTTTAATATATATATATATATAGTCGAAAATAAATTTCATTGAACATATTTCCCATATGTTTACTTCCTTTTAACATGATTAAAAAAACGTAAAAATATCGTTCTAACTTTAATATATTAAACAGTAGCTCATAACACTAACCTAATTTATTGAAATGATCTGCTTTTTCTTTGTTTTTTTTTCTTTTTTTGTAATCAAAATCTTTGTTTTACTCTATGAAATATGATAATTCAATGTATTCTCTTTAAAAAGAGCTCACCTTACAATAAAACTTCAGAAATTAAAATCTTGTTTATATTTTACGACTAAATAATAGAAACCTTATTATTCATGATAATTCAATCTAGATAAAATAGATAAATACAATAAAACAAACAAAATAAAAATAAAACGAACCTTTGACATTATTAATGGTGATGATATTTTTGCTGCATGAAATTTTTCAATATCTCGAGTAATGGCTGCTGCAGCTGAATTACTTCGAACTTTTGTTGTTGATAATGTTGCAGTTCTAGAATTTTTTGGTTTTTCCATGATTATAAAAAAAAGTTTACTTTATATCATAATATACAAAAAACAAAGAATATAATTATTTTTCCTATGTGTATGTGTGTACACATTATGTATTTGTAATAACAATTTGTCGGTCGATATACAATAGTAGTAGTTAGTTGGTTTGTAGTATAGAGTTGTATAGTCTAATAATAACAGCAGTTGTTTTAATTAACTATTTGTACAACATACACAGTGCGAAAAAAAAAAATTTTGTTTTTTTTCTTTTATTCTCTTGTATATTCCGCCAAAAAGAAGAAAATCGCATTGGAATTGCGTTTTCCTCATTCTAAACATATTTTATAAGCGCGAATAGTTTAATTGTCTTTGTTTTCTCCATCGA